GTACTGTTGAAGGTGGACAAATTGTCTCTGGCAACACTCGGTGAATCACATCCGCTGTAGTTTTTGAGGAATACTAAACGGTTAGATTGAAATGAAGTCAGTATCTTCAAAGTTCATATGACTATGGACGCTGACTATGGAAGTTGACTGGCGACGATGCCCTCACATCTGATGAGTGGGGTATCGTGGGCGGGTTGGTTCAAGGATATATTGCTTGAGCTGAAGTCATTTCGCGCAAATCGGTTGCGGTGTTGCAAAATCAAGAGAAAATGCTGACTGGTAATTCGTCGTTTTGTATGGTTCACATCTCACAAAATAGGTGTCTCAAAAATTCCGACCCCGATTTCGTGGATGACCTGTGGGCTTGTTCCACGACTCATGCATGCTCCTACTTACACATCCGACGCACTATTTCGAACCTGACGACAGAAACCCCGTGAACGAGTTGGGACCGCCCGCTTTCAGGCACAGGACATTCAACGTATCAATAGACTGATGAAAGGAAGCAAGAGCGTTCCGCTTAAGCTCTCTAAGCATCACTTTACAGTAGGACTTGAACACACTAAACTACCTTTTTCAAAAGAAACCCTGGCTTAGATTTAAGGGAATCGACTGGCGAGAGTTATAAAAATAGGAACAATTTTTGCTCAAAATCAAAATGAAAATGCCATAACGTTAAATTTCTCAAAATTACTCACTATTATGTATGGCCCGTATACTTTCTACAGTGAAGGCTATCGCGATAAACAACGAGAACATTTCTTCAGCTGACCTGAAACATTTCGAAGCTTGATCGGGTATTGAGTGCTTCCACGTATCGAGTTAAACTTTAACGAAGACCAAGGTTCTTATACATGAGCAGGGGGGGGGGGAAGGAAAGAAAAAACTTCAATTAACCGGATTTTGATAATGTTAAAGCGGTGCTCCCAATGGACGGGAGACATACATTGCCACGAGAATACAGGGCATGGCTCGAGCTACTCTTTGAGAGATTATAGACACCACAGACGTCTCAATGGTAAGGAAATCGGGGCCTTGCATAGTAGCTACTGTATTACCGTAAGCCGCTAGAGTACGAGCACAATGGCGAATGAGTCGAAATTCCTAGGGAAGGTGGCGGCAGCGACCAGAGCTTGCTTATGGAGGAACTTCATAGGACTGGGAAAAGTGTCATAAGGTTAAGAACACAGGTTCTTATCGTTCAGTTAGGTTTCTTCACATAGCTAGTTACAGAAGCTCTTATCCTCAGCGCTAGAGACGAAGAGCGTCATGAAGTGACCCTCCCAGATCCATTTCGGTCGAAAATTCTACTTCATTTTGCAGTACATGATGCTGAACGCGAGCGTTTTCCTTTACCGAGCCACGTTCTCTTTGGACACACTCTGTAGCTGCCTATAAAGAGAATCTGATCCACTTTCAAATTCACCTACCGAGTCGCC